TATTCTGCAGTTCTTCCCTGCTGTACCGAATATCTATACTTTTCAAAGTATCATATCGAAGTTAGAAATTCAAATATTGTGAAAAAATTCATTTTGTAGGGTGCCACAAATTTGTTAAAATTTCCAAAGGGTGCCGCGACTAAAGAAAGGTTGGGAAACACTGGTCTACTCTAGGCAATTGGTAAATTGCAGTTTCAGGCACTATAAAATGTCCAGCTCAACAACACTAACATGTGTTGAAGGAAACAAATGTATCTTCTGATTTTGTAGTGGTGTTGTTAAGGTGGTTAGAGGGCGGTGGTTTTTTATGCGCTGAATATGGAGGGTACTACTGTCCAACTCTTAAGGTGTAATATTTTGTTGTATTTTGCATTTTTATGTGTGTTTTCTATAACACAAAAATGTGTTTGACAAGTGTTTTTTTTTTTTTGCAGGTTTTCTTTAGCACTTCTTAGCTTTTGTGTCCACTGTTGTGGTACGTCTTATTCAGTCAAGTTCCACAATTACAGTTTGTCTAGATGTCTGTTTGTGTCTTTTGTACTTGTTTTAGTTGGTGGCTTTAGCAGTGGAGGTTTTCCTGGATACTATGAGCCTGGCCTCCCTATGCAGGACGATGTGAAGCCACAAAGTTCCAGCTGGTATGGCCAAGGAGATGCATCAGGCCACTAAGGTCCAAGAATATCACTTACAGTGCTGCAGTTAAGGATGTATATAGCAGTCTAAGCTATAGTCCTCAAACTGGCTCCTATGGCTCTGGTCCAATAACAAGTGTATATAACCTTGCTTCTGAATCTGATGGTAGAAGGCAAACTCAAGGCTCACTGATATCTTCAGCTGGTAGTGGCAGGTTTGATTCTGGTTCTCTGGCCGCTGGACTGAATACAAGTGTAAACAGTGAGTCCAAGCCAGCACAGCTTAATTATCAAACTCTTGTGCAGACTAGCAATGAGTCTGTGGCCTCTAGTAACCAGCAACCAGTGCAGACTGGCTCCCAGTCCAGTGGCCAACAGTTAGCTAGTGCCCAATCATTTGTCAATCCCAGAGAAGTAGACTTCAAGTTGTTTCCAAGCTATTTTCAGGTGGCAGGCCAATTCTGACCAAGTTTTGGCCAGCAGTCGGTTCAAGCCAGTTACCAGTCTGTGGCCCAGCCTAGTGTCCAACATCCAGCACAAGCCATCTACCAATCTGTGGCAGAGCTTGGTGTCCAACAACCTGCCCAAGCCAGCTACCAGCCTGTGGCCCATCCCAGTGACTAGCAACCAGCACAAGCCAGCTACCAGTTTCTTTTCAAGCCCAATGTTCAACGACCAGCCCAAGCCCATTACCAGTCTGTGCCCCAGCATAGTGTACAACAAGAACAGGCTCGTTACCAGGCTCCATGACAATCTGGCAGCCTACAGTCAGCACAAGCCATCTACCAGTCTTTTTCCCAGCCCAGTAGCCCATTGTCAGCACAAACCAGGTACCAGGATGTGTCCCAGCCTAGTGGACAACCAGGAAAAGCTCTTTACCATGCTCCATCACAACCCAGCGGCCTGCAGTCAGTACAAGCCAGCTACCAGTCAGCTAAAGCTCATTACCAATCTGTGTTCCAGCCCAGTAGCCTGCAGTTAGCACAAGCTCGCTACCAGTCTGAGTACCAGGCCAGCATTGAACAACCAGGACAGGCTCATTACCAGACTGTGTTACAACCAAGTGGCCTGCAGTCAGCACACGGCAGCTACCAGTCAGTTAAAGCCCGTCATCAGTCTGTGTCCCAGCCAAGTGGCTTGCAATCCGCACAAGCCAGCTACCAGTCAGTGCACTCCAGGTTTCAGGCACCAATTTATAAGCCCACATCTCAGCTGGCCCACACTGGGTTTCAGCTCTCTATGCCACAAGAGTCAAGTTTCCAGTCTCTCTTCAGTCTTGATTCCCAGTCCCTGGAGCAAGCCAGTAATGTGTTTATTCCTTCTGGCTTCGAGACTTTGTTGCTGTCTCTTCAACATGGCTTTCAGGATCCAAAACCACTGCTTTCCCAACCTACTCAAAGCAAGAGTTTGTCTTCAGGTGTGAGGCGTTTGCAACAAGTGAATTCATAGCTGCATAACTGATGTCTTTCATGGATTAATGTTTTTTTTTTTTTTCAAAATAACACAAAATGTGGTTTTGGTCTTCACTGGCTTTATCAATTTAAATGTGCAGTAGACTCGATTGTGGTCTACAAACTATATATGGACTAAAGTTTTCACTGTAATTTCCACTATCAAATAAAACCCCATAAACATCTATTACTTGCATTAAGACGGTGACAGTCTGACACTACAGTGCCCCCTTTTCTAAGACCTGTCAGACCCACACACACGATGCAAAAACATGACTTAAGTATTCATTAATTAGTTCCCCACAGGATTTTACATTCAAATTAGAAGCAAACATTGGCAAAATTATTGGAGATGATTTATTAAAACATTAAACAAATACACCAGGGCTGTCCAAACTCGGTGTTGGAGCTAAACTCTGCAGGACACCGGCCCTCCAGGACCGAGTTTGGACAGCCCTGAAATACACTGAGTACAAAGTAAAATGACGGTAGTTCATTTATCTGTTTTTGATATTCTTATCACTGCAGAATAACAATACTGTTTACTGTTTTTTTTTTTTTCCACAGCTGTTTAGAGACCAGGACAAAGATCTCTCTGGTCAAAAGTAGTCTAAAGACATCTCACATGTTATGCGTTCGTTGCAACAAAGGTGTCTTGACCAGGGTCTTTTGGTAGCTTTTGAAGCCTAGTGTACTTGACTGAAAAGACTTCTAATATTAGACTGAAGCTTTTTAATTACTTCATACATTCATTTTGGCTTCAGTTTGATTGCCTTTAAATAGAGCTTAATGTCAGTATCAATACTGTGATAAAAAGTACAAATGAAATGGTGTAAACTCATCACACAGGATTAAAACAAAACTTAATTTCACAACACATTTTATGCTGCTGACACTCTCTTTATAACCTTGGATTTAAGATCCCTTGACTCTTGAGGCTGTCTTTGTGTTTCATTGAAATCATGAGTTTTTTCTAGCGCAAGTGTGCGTGTGAACATTTAACTGCATTTTTTCCACATTCATAGTTTATACAAAAATGATCATCATCATGAACCCCTTAAGTTAAAACTACTGCAAAAAAAGCTATGATCACGTTTACGGTCAGCCATGACACTTCAGTGCCATTTACATTGATGCTGAGATGCAGAATACAAACAAAATACGTTGTCTACATTAATTAACATGACATACCACAGACTGAAACTGAGTATACAAGTTATTTAAAGAGGTTTCTACTGCGTTTGAAATGGCCCATAAGAGATGCCGTCTCTATGGAAACATCTGATCTCCATATAAAGTGCGCTGCTTAAAAACAGATACACAAGGCATATTATTTCAAATTGAAACAAAAAACAATTCATATCCACACCACTTATGGCACCAGAACAATCATGTCAATACTATCCATAAGCTTGGCCTAGTAAAACCAACGCACTTAGGGTCCAAGTTTTCAGCAATTCACAAAATGTCAAGCAAAATGCATCTGACAATAAAAGGATATGATATTAATAATACAAAATGGGGAGCATTAAGTTTACAAATTAAAAACATCTGAATGTGAGGAATTCAAGAACATGGTTGAAACAATGCACAAATCTCCCTGTGGAACATAATTCAGAAATTAAAAACAGAAATATTCCAGACATGCTGTTGATTGCATGAATATAATATAATAAAAGTACATAACAATAATAGAATATAATTTCAACATTTCCAGGCTTATGGAATTGTGGGCAGAGTTTGCTCCATGTTAAAAGTCTGTATAATTATCCCATATATTTCCATTGCAAATTAATTTCTTGAAATGGTTTTGTTTTGTTTTTTACAAACCAAGGGACATATCAAAATATTTTTGAAGTATTCAACAGCTTGCCAGATGATTTTAATAGCGTTCACGTTGCATTTAAAATGAAACATTCCATTAAAGTTGTGTTAATTTTTTTCAAGATTTTCAAACGATCAGCTCATAGTTCATGAAACATTTCATTTGCCATTGATTTAATACTGCTCTATCCTTTCAAGGTGCAATTTTTGTGAGTATTATTTAGTAGGTCATGTGATCTAACGCGAGGCAGTTCAACTCCATGTGAATAAGCTTTTTCTTAGTATACTGATAATTTTAAGCGTACACTCTTTTTTTTCAAAATTTTTACAAATGAAAAAATTACTGAGAGCACCTTTTTAACCTTCATGGTCAACTCTATTTTTCTCTTTAAAGAGGAATGTAAACTTAAAAAACAATCCAGTACAATTCAAAAAGCAAACATTAGTTGTGACGTACTGTAAAATCATCTTAAGTTTTCCAGAGAAAATGACAGTCATTGCACTATTCTGTCTTTAGATGCACTACACAGCAATAACCTGCAGGGGCAGCAACAATACACAATCCATGAGCAGAGCCAGGAGCAAAGCACAGGCTGTAGAGGTGGGACGTCCAGTCCTTGAACTGGCCAGAAAGTAGTTGCACCTCCAGATGGCTCATTAGCAGAGATGAAAATGTCCTTCATGGCCAAGAAAAACAAGTCATGATGCAAAAATAATAATTCTAATAATAATTAAAAAAAAACTAAAGAGGACTGTGAGAACAATGGTGCCCTCTTCATAAGCGTCCTTAGTCTCTCCTTAATCGATCAAGACTTTCGTATCGCAGAAGTTGAAAAAGAATGAAAGAGAACTGAACTCTGCTGAATAAAACTTACAGGCGTGTACAAGTACAGATTCTGAAAGACAAAAGTACAACTGATAAGGTTTGCTGTTTAATATTCATAGTTTAGAGGAGTTCTCCACAGTTTTGTCCATAGGTATTGTACAGAAAGAGTACGGAATGGCTGCGTGCTAGTCCTCAATGCATATAACATCGCTAGGCTTGCCTGATTTCAAATCAGGTGTGGCCACATCTCGCAGAGCATCACTGGACTTCTTCTCTAGGTGGCTGGTTGGGGTTGGAGGTCCGTTTGAGGACACTAAGAAGAAGAAAACAGAAGCATGATATTTCTATATATTAAATCTATTTAAAGGGGTCATATGATGCGATTTAAATTTTTCCTTTCTCTTTGGAGTGTTACAAGCTCTTAGTACATAAAGAAGATCTGTAAAGTTGCAAAGACTAAAGTCTCAAATCCAAAGAGATATTCTTTATAAAAGTTAAGAGTCAACCACGCCTACCTAAAACGGCTCACTACAATGCCGGCTGTTCTTACTCACAGACTGTAAGTACGTTTTCATTTTTAAAGAATTTGCCACTGATGATTCAAACGCGAGTTTTGAGCAGTGTAGAGTAGCGTTTGTAGTTTGTAATTTCTCCGATCACAAATTCAGACATGGTTTTATGTTTACTCGGCGCGATGCAATGCAACACGTAAAAAGACAGTATAAGTCGTTATAATCCGTAATTATGTCCTCACTGGATGCAACAAATGCCTCATTTATAATGGGTTTTAATGTTTTTGTCTCGTCGCTCTGGCCGGGACAAGGCATCACAATATGGCAAGGGGCGTAACATTTCCGTCACACACTTGAGGTATTCGGCCAATCACAACGCACTGGATAGCTGGCCAATCAGAGCACACCTCGCTTTTCAGACCGATGAGCTTTGTAAAAATCGACGCGTTTCAGAAAGACGGGGCATAGAGGAGAAACAATAATGTACAGTATGTGGAAAATAATGTGCTTTTTTAACCTTAAACCGCATAAACACATTTCATTACACCAAATACACAAAATAATGTTCTTTTTAGCAACATCATATGATCCCTTTAATTACTTTCTCAATCAGCTAAATCTTATTCTCAGACTGCTTGCCCACAGTGTTATATTATTATTATTTGTATACTATTATAGAATGTATTAATATTTAGATTTAGCTTTTGTCTTGATATTTTCATTGTATTAATATTTTGATTTACATTCTAAATGTAAAATAATAGCAGAGTCCATGCAACTACTATAACAAAAACGACACATACATACATATAATAAACAGAATGTAATTGTTTATTTTATTTTATTTATTTAACCTTTATTTAACCAGGCAAGTCAATTAAGTTCTTGTTTTCAATTACAGCCTGAGAGGATAATTAATATCTCCTGAGAAACATACAACAAACATACATTACAGTACATAAAACACATATATATATATAAAAAACAAATCTCAGTTAAAACATTTATAGGTTGAGGTAAGAGCACTGGCTAGTAATTTTTACATACCGGAATAATATGCACATACTGCATTATATCGAGCTTTGGTGTGGACGTTGATACAGTTATCGCTACAGTTATCTTTATAGTTATTGTCTTGGTGAGAACAGGCCTTAAATGATGACAAATTGTTCATTTTTGGGTGAACTGTTCCTTTAACCAGACCACTAGGTTTTTGATTATATGCGCTCTTCATTTCAAAGCTAATGTAGGCCACTAACCGCTGAGGTACGGCCCCAGGGGCATCTGGCTGTAGTTCACCATCGCAGTGCCTCCAGGTCCACGGAAACCTCCGGCGAAACCGCTATTATACATCTGAGAACAGCCGAAAGAGCCCTGAGGGAAAGGCTGAGGGGAGATGAAACAGAACATTCTTATATGAAGGTTCATCCACATGAGGCCCATCTATTATTCATCTTATATGGATTACACATATGGCAAAAGACGTGTCACGCTGACCTGCTGAGGTGGCGGCTCGTTGCCCCGGCTGGTGAGTCTGCTGAGGATGCCCCGCTCTGACATCTGGAGCCGGGCCGACACGGGTGGGACCCGCGAAAGCATAGAGGGCAACCGCGTCACATCAGCCTTCATATCGCTTAACAGCTCCTCCAGCTGATTCAACACTGAAACAACACCAGTGAACATCAAAGAAAAAAGGTTGTTTTGTTTTGAAAGAAATTAATATTCACTTTGCACTTAAAGTACTCATTATTACTAACAGTATTCAGCTAGGATCCATTAAATTGATTAAAGGTGACAGTACAGACATTTATAATGTTTTATTTTTTCAATTAATCAAAGAATCCCCCCAAAAAACAAAGCATTCACAAAACTATTAATCAGCACAACTGTTTTTAACTTTTTTTTTGGAAACATTAATAATTTTACTTAGCATGGATGCATTAAATTGATCAAATAGGTAGTAAAGACATTTATAATATTACAAAAGATCTCTATTTCAAATAAATGTTCTTTTAAACTTTCTTTTTTTAAAGTATCCTGGAAAAAATGCATCACATTAAGCAGCACAACATAATAATATTGATAATAATAAGAAATGTTTCTTCAGCAGCAAATCAGCATATTAAAATGACGAAGGCTCATGTGACACTGAAGACTGAATAAAGGCTGCTAATAATTCAGCTTTGCCATCACAGGAATTAATTACATTTTAAAATATATTATGACAGAAACAGTTTTTTTTTTTTTTAACTGTATTACTATTTCACTCTATTGTTGTTTTTACTGTACTTTTGATCAAATAAATCCAGCCTTGGAGAGCATAAGAGAATTAACAAATCGTTTGAACAGTAATGTACATTTAGTTTATGTTCGGTTGATAAAGCTATTGTTATTAACAGCAAGCAACATGGGGCAGTTCCAAGCATCAGGGTGTTTATTATATTTTTAGAAAATGACCTTTGTGCAGCACAGCATTGGCTGGCTTGTTACCAGCCAGTGACTCTTTGGAGAGGTGCTGATGGGACTCAGCCAGGCACTCCACCTCTGTGAAACGTGTGTTGAGGGCCATGGTGGGGTGACTGGGATCCTGAGTCATATTCAGGTATGCCGCGCGCCGAAGCTGCTCCTCAATTACCAAAGCCTGTTCCAGGAGCTAAAATGTGAATGAAGAATGTGTGAATATAAAGATTATTTTGAATGAATTCAAATAAAACACACAATAATGTGTACCTTAAAACGTCTGGCAAGAAATTTATTCTTCATTTCTAAGTAGTTCCCTTTGTGCATTTCAGTCTTGAAAGGCTCATTGAGGATGGTGTACCGTGGGTCGTTCTGAATGTCCTGCCAGCGGGCATAGCCATGTCTGAGAGCACCTGGTTAAAGATTTGCTTCATATACTGAAAATGCTTTACTCAATATTACAATGAAGCACACAACCTGAAGTGGCAAAGATCTTGTACTGGAAAACAGCACTTTAAATGCTGAATAAGTTGGGTGAAATATTTTTGAATATATATACAGTGGTGGCCAAAATTATTAGAACACCATCATTTTCATCAGCTAAAAAATGGTTTAAAGTCAGTTATTTCTATCTTGTGCTATAGTGTGTCAGTAGGAAATATCAGTTTACATTTCCAGACATTCATTTTGCCATTAATTGTAATAATCCAGTCAGTAATTATTTTTTTTAGAATAAAAAATGAATACTTTTATTCAGTTTATTCACTTTTATTTATGCATTGAGTTGATCAAAAAAGTAAAGACATTTATGTTACAAAATATTTCTATTTCAAATAAATGCTGTTCTTTAGAACCTTCTATTCATTAAATAATCACTTCATAATCAATTGAAATTTTTGGTCTCCTTGTATTTCTCCATTCTATTTATTCAAACAGGCACATCACAATCATTTATGTTCACAACTTCTTAAAAGTCCTAAAGAGAAAAAAAAGAAATCAAAAGAAAAGAATAGAACAAAAACAACTGAAAAAAAATTATTTGAGATTATTAAAGGAATAATAAGACAGCTCAAATGTGCAATGGAAGGAACAGTGAGGATACGTTACGATGCCAGCTAGCAGCCAGTAGTCATGGCGACGGTGCCAGATGTCGTACATTTTGCCAGATGACACAGCTGCGCGTTCCTCGTTCTGCCATAGCGTGTGTAATTCTGAACACACATAAACACTCATGCACATCCATGCATTCTTTATCTCTCCTATCATTCACCAGAGTTTTTAATCTGCTGTCCATGATACAATACGTGACCAATGTGTTGACGCCCGTTGAAGCGAGACAGCAAATCAGAACAACGTCAATAAGACTACAACTCACCTGTGAATCCTCCATCTGCGATGTTAAACATGAAACGAGTCTTGATGCTGTTCTTGTCATCTCTGTGGCTCTCATCCACGTCGTCCCTCGTGTCTTTCTCTCCATTCAGTTGGTTCTCAGGGGGGTCTTCAGATTTTAAATCATCAGGAATGGCTGCAGAAACTACAGAGTTTGACAAAGCAGAGAGGTTGGTACTCTACTTTTCATGAATAGGGTACACATTGGTGTTCAGTTCATTTTTTAAGCCTTAAGGTTTAGATCTTTTTATTATTAAACTGACATAGAAATCTCATTCCTATTTGTACACAAATTTTAGCATTGACAACATGTCAAGCTTTCATTAATGGGAACAATTCATTTATCTAAAAAACTTTATTTTATATTTTTATTTGATCATTTATCAAATTTATATTTATTTTCTAAATGTTGTCTATTAAATTTGGATGTCTGTTTAATTTTTAATGCTAGAAAAATACAAAAATCACAAAAAATCATCTAAACTTAGACATTCTTTGATAACAGCGGTTCTGTGCATAAAAAATGCACAGAAAATGAATAAAACAAAACATTTAACAAACAACATTTTCTGAAGTTTTAGCACCTCCTTTGACTGACATTTACATTTGTTGAAAAAAAAAAAAGGTTTAGGCCCAGTTTTGTACCCATTTAGTGGAAAATGTGTTTTTTAAGGTGCCAATTTGAAGATAAAATGGATCTGGAATCTCGACCACTCCTTTTATTCTGTTTCTGGAAGTATAATAAACAAATACCACAAATACTGACCTGGTTTTTGCTCCTTATCATCTATTTTTGCTGGGCTGGGTTTATTTTCCCCTCTCTCCGGAGAAGTTTCTTTCCCTTTACCACAGTCTTGAATAAACAAAATATTTTAATATTTTGTTTATTGAGAGAAATGTTTTATAGAACCATTATATGCATGGTCTAGAACCCTCACCTAAAGGTGTCTGATTGGCTGACTGCTCACTAGGTTTATTAAGCGGCGATGGCTCTGAATGGACAATTGGGGTGTCATTCTTCTCGGTCTCTTCCATTCCTTTTCCTTCTGGACTTCCGCTTTTTGGTTCTTCTCCCTCATTGGTTTTCTCTGGTGCAGTGGAGGGTTCTGGCATAACTGGCTGCTGTAATAAGATAGAGATTTTAATAAGGACAAGAAAAATAAAAAACAGAAAAAAATATATTTCTGGATGACTTCAGTCTGACCTCAGGGTCCAGCGATTTGGTACTCTCTGGTTCTGTAATCTCCTTGTCTTCTTGAGAACCGGACACTGACCCTGTCTTTTCTGTAAAAACAAATATTACGGTCTAGTTAACCACAAACAACCAGCATTTCATTGAGTAGTGAACATATACACACACACACACACTTGGGCTGGGTTTTGGGACAAATTTCATGATTCGATTTGCTTTTGATTCCCAAGTTTGTGATTCAATTTCGATATCAATTATTTTGGATATATATCAGGTACAATATATAGCAAATTTTCTCCAGGGAAAAAAAACAACTAACGAGTCAGGTTGTAATACTAACTTTATAATTACATAATTATATTTCTTCAATTTGTTTTTGAAATATAAACATTTAAATGGTGGCTGTCATAAAAACTTGACAAATTTATTCAGTAAATATTGAAAAACAGTAAAAATTATAATGAATATGTCATATGGTGCATATATTCAGTAAAATGAGGTAAATGTGACGTTATGTGACATTCTGTTGTTTACAAGCTGTTATATTGACTTCTTTCCGTGGTTGAAACACTGATTGAGTGACAGATTTTATTGTTTGAACATTGTAAAACAAAATGACAGAATTTGAAATCTGAGACTTTGTTTTATATAAAAAGTAACAAAACACAAAGCTTACTGTGATTTATTGGATGGGAGGCATGCTACAATGTTCCGTTCATTAACTGAAAACAGGCTTGACTAATCGATTTTTGGGATTTAAGAATCGATAATGTTTCGTAAAGATGAGAATCGATTAAAAATTAGAAATATATATTTTTTACCCAGCCCTAACACACACACACACACACACGCACGCACACGCACACGCACACACACAACACACGTTGGTATTGGTGGTTTACGGGACTCTGCATAGACATAATGGTTGTTATACTGTACAAACTGTATTTTCTATCGCCCTACACCAACCCTACACCTGAACCTACCCTTTACAGAAAACTTTGTGCATTTTTAGATTTTCAACAAAAACAAAAAAACACCATTTAGTATGTTTTCTAAGCCTTTTGAATTACAGTACAGGGCAGTGTCCTCATAAACCACCCAAACCAGTGCACACTTTCACACACCTGAAGGAACAGGTGTGCTGGGTTGAGTCGGAACCGGACTGGCAGGAACAGGCGTATTGGGGTCCGATGAGACACTTTCAGTAAGTTTTTTCAGCTCCAATCCCACAGGAATCAAATCTGGTGTACTAAACTTCCCATTCACATGCTCAAACTCCTGAACCTACACACACATTCAAAGTGTTTTGTGTCAAATTTAATCAAATTTAAGCTGCTATTTTATTATTTTATATATATTATTTTATACAAAATAAGTTCAAATGCTCAATTAAAGGCACAATATGTAATTTTCGCCGCTAGAGGTATTCAAAATAAACAAATAGACAAAGGCGTAGTTTGATGCCGCCGTGACTGAGTGTGGAATCATGGGAGTTGTCGTCTTCATCCCCACAGCCGATGCAATCCGACGGGACTCGGGCAGAAATCTTGTTTATGGATGAGCTAATGATTTATTAACGTAGTAGAATGAAGCAGGGTGACAGGGTGAGGCTGAAAGCCGTCGAAGCGAAACGAGGCCGCTGAACGAGCGTGACACGCGGCTCGAAAGCAGCGGAGCTTTTATTATGCCACAGTCGACCACTTTCGCTCCTTCCGGTCGTGTGTATGTGGGGAAAAAAAGCAGCATTGTTTTATCATACTAGATACATTTGAAAGTTCTGTTATTATGCTACTCTGTGCGGTCGTCACCAGTCTATTAAAACGCACAACATATTAAAGCGTCTTTGGTGTTTCCATGTTTTCTACAAAACAAAACCGGGAATCGAGGGGTTATGACGTCATTGGCAGGCGACACAATGACACTATAGACATGCTCCGTGCCACTAGTTAAAATTGCTTATTTCTCTGGATTTAAACATTCTTCGAAACATTTGGGATAGTGTAAGTACACGAGTCAGCAAAATATATAACACTGTTCTAGTGGTTTTTGGATATTTTAATAAAAAAATCTTACATATTGTGCCATTAAGTACATAATGCCATAGAATGTTAAAGTACATAATTTTAATTAATCATAAATAAACAAATCAACTTCAAATTAGATATTTATATCCATCAAGTTAAAAACCAGTGCACATAAAATGCAGTAAGTAGTTCAACACCTTCTTGCGGACCAGAGACATGACACCAATCCGGGTGAGAACATGTTGGCGGGATATGCCTTCCCTCGGGACTCCATCTGCAAATGTCTCTGCTCCATCTGCCCCTGGCTCACACACCTATAAAAAGGTGTCTCATGACCAACGTGTCACACAAGAAACATTTCATGATGGGTAAAAGCAAAGAGCTTTCTCAAGACCTTCACAACCTTATTGTTGCAAAACATACTGATGGCATTGGTTACAGAAGGATTTCTATACTTCTGAATGTTCCAGTGAGCACTGTTGGGGCCATAATCCGGAAGTGGAATGAACATAATTTCACCATAAACCGGCCACGACCAAGTGCTCCTCGCAAGATTTCTGACAGAGCAGTGAAAAAAATTATCAGAAGAGTTTTCTGAGTTGTCTGAGATCTTCTGTGGGGGCATACCCCAGCGCATAATCGCATTCAGGAAGGCTTTCCGCTGCCGGGCGTTAAATCCCAAAACCTGAAATCCCAAAGGTAAATAGCCAAAGCTTCACCCGAAGCAAGGAATTACGCACAAACTCTCTCTTTTCACAATATTGTAAGAAGATTTACCTCTATGTTTCCACTAACTCTAGCCAGCAGCGGTGGCAATGGTTTGTCCCGATCGCTCTTCAACTGTCTGCGAGATTGTCTGCGTCCTCCTGGAGGTGCGTACCAAGTGCGATAAAAGTCAGTAAGATTTTTTAATGTTTTTGAAAGAAGTATCTTATGCTCATCAAGGCTACTCTTATTTCTTAAAAATGTACAATATTACGTGAAATAAATTTTAAATAACTGTGGTCCATTTTAGTTTTAGTCATTACTCCAGTCTTCAGTGTCACATGATCCTTCAGAAATCATTCTAATATTGCAGATTTATTGCTCAAGAAACATTTTTTTTTAACTGATATATTTTATAACATTATAAATTTAATGCATTCTTGCTGAATATAAGTTTATATTTCTTTCAGAGAATACAAATCATACTGACCCCAAAGTTTTAAACATTAGAGTGCGTGTGTGTTTATACATATATGATGATGCCTACCTTCAGGACGTTCCTCAAAATCTTCATCCTCATCCTCGGACCCGACGGAGTACTCAGATTGATTATCTGAAAGATCATCGTGCCACTCTGAGAACAGGATTGAGATGGAATGTTTGTAAACTCATATGCACAGTTTTATGCTGCGTTATAGCACAGTCAGCATCTGTGTTTGGGTACCTTGGTCCTCCTGAGAGGCGTCATTATAGTTGACCTGTTTGCGGATGCGTTTCCCTTTGCCCAGGTTCCGGGCTAAATTCTCCTGCTGCTGCTCGTAATGGTGCCTCAAGAGCTTCTCCCAGTAGTCTGGATCAACATTCTCTTCCTGCTTAATAATCTCCCTCTGGACCTCTTCCTGCAAGAACACACACACACAAATGCAGATCATATATCACGGGCCTATTATTGACTTTAATTAATCTAATTATATATATTTATTGTATACTAACAATAATCCTTTAACATCTGGGATTTGTATATGACATAATATAATTAGTTTTTTGTAATTATTTAGTCCCTTTATGAAGTTGGATGAAGCTTTTCCTTCATAATGCAGGGTTTTGTTCCAACACAGACTTACAAAAAGGACTGTGGTGGTGCAATGGTACAGTGATGGTATCAGATGATTAACAGTACATTGATATTATACTGAATGATTACAATATCCATATACCATGGTACTCCAAGGTACTTCAAAGCATACTATGCTCTATACAAATTCACACAAATCCACAAAATTTGACCTTTTGGACTTACTGTCTGTCATTCTGCCATTGCTAAAATCTGATCAGTTTGTTCTGACAGCTGTACATCTACACGGGTTGCTATAGTAAGGATGTTAGCACCAGCACAATCCCAGGAGATTTTCTCATACCGAAAGTCGCTGTCAGTGTGAAATGAGGATGGAAAACTGGAAATTTAGCTTTTGCCCATGTCTATAATGACGTCTCCCTTCAGGCGCATAAGAGAACAAGCGACATTTTACACATTCATGTCCAAAACCACTGACACTCACTCAGCATTTACTAGTGAATGTCACAAAAAAAGAAAAAGAGAGTGAAAATGAGCACATTCGAACACAGCTCCAAATGTTGTGTACTTTGTGTGACATTACATACCGCTCAAAAGTTTGGGTCAATACGATTTTTTAATGTTTTTGAAATTATAGGTTATATTTATTTGATAAAATACACAAAATACAGTAAAATTGTGAAATATTATTACAACTTAACATTTTTATATATTTTAAAATGTAATTTATTCCTGTGATGGCAAAGTGAAATTTTCAGCATCATTACTCCAGTCTTCAGTGTCACTTGATCCTTCAGAAATTATTCTTATATGATGATTTGCTGCACAAGAAACATTTCTTCTTATAATCAAAGTTGAAAACAGTTGTGCTGCTTAATGTGGTATATTTTTTCAAGCATACTTTATGAACAGAAAGTTCAAATATAAATATAAATCTTCTACAACATTATAAATATATTTACTGCCAATTTTGATCAATCTAATGCATCCTTACATAGTATTAATGTCTTTCGAAAAAATTGTACAGACCCCAAACTTTTGAATGGTAGTGTATGCATCAGGTCAAATTTTAAAGAAAAAAATAAAATGGGTTAAACATTGCATCGGAAGCTTTTTGTCTTTTCAGACTACAATCTGATTGCCTGCCTGAACAAAGTCATAGTGCTGCTGCCCCTAAACACAATACTAACTCCAAAACAACAGTCCAAGAAGCTTTTGTAAAAAAGCTGAAACTTGCACGGCTATGCCTTCTTGAGCATAGAAGAGTGAAAGAAAATGTAGTCTAAGGTATTCATTTTGAAAGGATTGACTAGCATTCATCTTTGATCCCTTGCTTAATAGAAAAAGGCATGAGGAACAGACAGTAAAGCATCTGTATCTCACCTCTCCGTCCTCCTCTCTCACAACATACTGAGCCACCTTGAATGAGCTCAGGTACTCGTTCATGTTCTGGATCTCTGTGTCTTCGGTGGCATCCTGGCTACGGTCCAGCAGTTTGGAAATGGCATTATCATCGTAGTGGATCACACTGCCCTCATCTCCTTCTTTATTATCTCCTGCTGAAGAGATTTAGGACATGAACTACTGGAATCCACAAAGTGTCTAAATGTTTATCTTAAACCACTTCAGCTCACCCATCGCTTTGGCAGCTTCCGCGTCATCTTTAAAAAGCTCCTCAGTGCCAAACTTGAGGATGTCGTCTAGTTCCTGTTTGGACATGGAGCCCGTCTTAGAGCCCAAGCCGGGACGCACCACCAGATGGGTTAACATCATCTTTCGCTTGGCTACCTGGGTAATACGCTCCTCTACGGATGCCCGAGTTACAAAGCGATAGATCATCACCTTTTTATTTTGCCCGATACGATGTGCCCTGCTAAATGCCTGCAAGGACAAAGAGAAAAGACAGATGAAAAGAAAGTGAAAGAAGAACACAGCAAGAAAAATAAAATCAATGATTAAATAATAGAGAGCTATAGATAAACACAGCATCGAAGTTTGTAATATAATATCTATTTATAACACAATGTATCACACACACATACATATATACTTCACTTTAAAGGGGTCATCGGATGCCCATTTTCCACAAGTTGATATGATTCTTTAGGGTCTTAATGAAAAGTCTGTTAACATAGTTTGGTTAAAATTTCTCAATGGTAGTTCTCAATGGTAGCTACCACTAAATATTGTAGAAACTTAATTTGCTGTAAAGTTGCTTTGCAATGATTTGTATCATGAAAAGCGCTGTACAAATAAACTTGAATTGAATTGA